GTTTTTTTCTTCTTCTTCTGAACATGTCCCCATTAATGTGCTACTGAAATTGGGGAAATGGAATGAGATTTCTCTTTTTGTTTGATAAATGGGTGTCTGATGTAACAAAGATGGTCTCATTAATGATTTCATAACATGTGTACCTCACATAGGAAGACTTTGTTTGTATGGGACGAGGAGGAGGAATGCCATCATAGGTTATTGAAAATGCTGCCACAGATTGATCAGCTTAATGCCAATCAATGGATCAATTAATTTGGAGGGGTGATCCATCAGGTAACTTCCTAGTAAAATCTTTACGTAACCTGTTTGCCTCATCTGGAGGTTGTATTATTCCTACAACAGAGTTTATGTGGCAAAGCATTGCCCCATTTAGAATTGTTGTTTTTTGGTTAAAATGAATGCTCTAGATGAATCCTGTTCTGGGCTCTGATATATTTGTAGGAATGATTCAGAATCAATTGGGTCATCTCTTGTTACTTTGTAGGAGATCTTGGAAATTTGGGGTGATTGTTTGTCTTGGTGGGTAATGAAATGGGTTGTTCCTCATCGGTTAATGCCTTGATTTGTGGTTTGGATTCAAATTCAAGAATGTCAAAAAGCTCTTATGGGAGGCTAAACCCATCCATGACAATTTTTTGGACCATCTGGAAAACCAGAAATAATAACCTTGTCTTTAATAATGGTGAAGCTTCTTGGGAAAATGTCTTGGAGTTAATTAAAGAGAAAGTTGCAACTCGGCTAAAAGCACATTGAATTATCCCTTGCTATACAGTTGCTGATTTAATCTTAAAGATGAAAGAAGTCAAAAACCTACACTTCCCTTTAAAAGGTGAGGGACTTTTGTGCTTTGCTAGGTTAGGCAACTGTGGATTTTCAAGTATTCTTTTGACATGGCTCTGCTCTCTTCCTGTTTGTTCTTAGTGGTGTAAATGGTGATTCAGCTTTGGATGATGAAAGGGACTGATTCAACTTGGAAGATGGATGAGTTCATATGGCAGGATTGCATTCTTGGTCATTGTTCTGCCTCAGTTTGGCTAGTGTAGGTAGTTGAGTCCTCATTGTTTTTGTTTTTCAGCTTCGTTATCCTAGTTGGTGTCTTGCTGTCTGTTTTTTTTTTTTTTTTTTTTTTGTGGATCCTAACATTATGAAAAGTTGTCTAGTTGCTACTACAATCTTGGTCATTGTTCTGCATCCGTCTTAGTAGGTGTTTTAGGGGTTGTTGGCCTTTGGCTTAAGCATATGATTGGCTAAGTAGCATGTTGTTGGCCTTTGGCTTAAGCATATGATTGGCTAAGTAGCATGAGTCACCTAGTTCGGATTTTATTTTCCTTTTTTTTTTTGGTAATGATGCTCTCTTAAAAAAAGAAAAGGGCATTACCCTAGTGTCATTAGACATCCAGAATTTTGAAATTTGAGTTTCAATAAATTTCATCGTGTTTCAATTTTGTGACATGGTTGCTAATTGGACTTAAATTTGTCAAATGATGGACACATTGATGTTTTGAACATATTAACTAATGAGTAGTGATAGAAACATGTACATACAATTCTTGAAAAACTTTCACCTTTGAGCAGTTTTCACCCATAAATTGGTAAATTATCACAAAACATCCATAAATTGGTAAACTGCTGTTCTTCAATTAATGGAAAGGAATTTGTTAATTTCTATATCTTTTAATGAGAATACTTTGTGTTGAGAGTTCCAAGGGGTCACCTCTCCTGCTACCATCCATTTCTATACCTTTGAACACTCAGCAAGTTAGTTTAAAACCATTCTAAAAACTTTTACTTTTATACCGTTTTGCATATTTTCCTACATTCTAGGTTGCATTCCTTTTCTGTCAGTAGGTAGAAAAGACAGATAGATAGACAGGTGGAGTCTACTAACTTTTGAAGCATTTTTCACCCCCAAACTATACCACACAACAGCCTGCACAAAAACCAGCACAAAAGCAAGATTTAAACAAGAAGATATGAAGACTAATTTGTGTTCAGGATCTAAAAGGTCTAGTAACATGAGGTAGGTTTAGTTCATTAAAATTAAAGTGGACCAGAATAGTTATTCTATCAAAATGTTCATGATCATATTTAGTTCACTAAAGAAATGTTAAAAAATATATTGTAAATGAAATGAGGAATGAACATTTCATTCTATTCACTTTCATTCTAATGAACCAAACATAGAAAGAAATGTTACATTAGACTCTCTGAAGGTTCAAATTCACATGACACTTAATTGCATTTGTATCACAAATTATTAATCATATGAATAAAAAAAATGATATTGCCATATATCTTCATCACTTTTATACTGAAATGTATAGTTTACATTATATCTTTGTATCTTCATACCATGTACACTAATCAAGATCGCTTTAGCTTTGCTAAAATAAAGGTCGATGTAATTATGTTAAAACTGTAGGTCTTTTTATATTTTTTTCAAAAGCTTAGGCGAGGATAATGTAATTTTCTCAATCATATAATTTTCATTATTGGATTAATTCAATTTTTTCATAGATATTCTACACATATAGGCCTAAAAAATAAATGATAATCAAAATGAAACCAATGATGAACCCAAAAGTTCAGACTGGACCGATCGAGTCCAAATCTTGGACTGCAAGCAATCTAATGGATAATTTGGTGAAAAGTACCACACAAAATTGAAATGACTCTGTTACAAAATTTAGTGGCTAAGATCCCTTGGTTTAGATTTTTTGAGAGTTAAAGGACACATTGTAAATTAATCAAAGGTGTTATTTGGTGCAATAGTAAGTTTAAAAATTGATAATGCAAAAGTAGAAATTGAAAGCACTCTTCACTCGATGTTTAAAAATTAATTTTTTTAATTTTATAATAAACGATCAACATAAACTATACCAAATAATCTCACATATTTAGAAGTTGTGGACAGACATGCTTTCTTACCCATTTAGACAGTTTAAAAAAGGATAAATTACACTATTAGTTCATATACTTTGGCTATTATGTTATTTTGATTCTTATAATTTTAAATCCTAATTTTTTATATTTTGTCTTAAATTGATCCAATTATTTATAATTAGTAGCATTTTTTTTATTATAAATGTGCACATGAGCATCATGTGTTATACTTTTAGAAGTAAAATTAGAAACTTAATCAATTCAGTAACTTGATTTCAACCAATTAAATGATTTGTTTTTTGTCAAAAACCCTAACGACGTTATCAATTAAACCAAATTGATGCAAAATTTCAAATGAAAGGGCAAAATTTCAAATGAAAGGTTAAAATTGAGCTAATTAAAACTGTAAGGACTAAAATGACACAAGTAACAAAGTATATGGACTACCGGTGTAATTTGCCATTTCAAAAAATGTGTGTGATGGTTTTGTAATGCTGGTGGTGAAATTTTAATGTTATTAGCACACTAAAATCAACTCCAATAGATTGGCATGGTGGTCCAAGCATGGGGTCTGGGGTGTATTCATTTCATGGTCTCAGATTCAAAATCTGCTAAGTATAAATATTTTTTTGTGGTCAGTTCATATGGGGCTTTGCCTCAATTTTAATTGGAGTCCCGACCAGTGAACGGTGGAATTGATCTCTTGGATTAGTCGGTCCATTAGGCTGAAATCGAATTATCAAAAAAACTAACACGCTAAAATTTTATTTTTTTAATATTGTTATTTTATTATTTTGATAAAAAAAAATTAATATATCTAGTGATAATCGGTAATTTTGATAAAAATTATTTTGTATAACAATGAGTATAAAAATTTCCATCAACGATGCTAGACGGAAGTTGTTTTGTTACTGTTTAGGTAAGGTTAACACTCTAAAATTTTACACAATCTTAGTATTTTACTGTTTCGATAATGATAAATTTATTTTTAAATATATTTATTGGTGATAGTAATAATGACAATGAGTGTGGTGAATTGTGATAGTCGTTGTGGAATTTTACTATTCAATCTAAGATTAACATAATAAAATTTTACTTTGCTAATATCATCCTTATCATTGTTTTGATAAATTATTTCTTTAATATTTTCACTGGAGATGTAATAGTATGTGTGATGGTTTGAGATGGTGGATGTAACAGTATGTGTGATGGTTTGAGATGGTGGATGTAGTAGAATTTTATTATTTAAATGTTAAACTTAGAACAATATAATTTTGGAAAAATTATTTTTTTTTAAAAAATGATAAGTTTGACCCTTGTAACAAATTACACTTCGATTTTTTAATTTTGTCAATTTGAATCATAATATTTTCAAATGGGATTTAAATTGATAAAATTAAAAAATTAGGACTAATTTTGTTATAATGTAAAATTTTATTTTTTTTATAAAAGAATTTCATACTCAACATGAATATTATTTGATAGAATTCAACAAAAAAATTTCAAAAATATTTATTTTATAAAAAAAAAAATCTGTCAGAGGTTACAAATAAATTTAAATTTAGAAAGTGGAACAGGAATATTTTAGTAAATAGACTAATTAAAATAAACATTTGTGATCATTTGCGGAAAATGTTGGTAAAGATTTTGGACCTCACATGAAAATTTGAAACTTTTAATAAATGCGGTGCGAGTATATCCACTTTTTGAGAAAATTTGAGAAGATTACTCTGGTAAATGAAGAAAGAATTTTCAAGGGAAATGAGAAATATACTACTAAAAAAAATACTTTTTGCGACCGCTATAAGCCGACGGCCCACGCGACGGCAAATGAGGGTTGCGAATATAGGGGTGGCAAATACTTTTTGCGACCGCAAAACAACAGTCACAAACTATTTGCGACCGCCTAACCTACTTATAGCGACTGATATTTTGCTGTCGCAAAAGAATTTAAAAAATGCCTACAATGTATTAGCGACCATCTTCTTACCGTCGCAAAAAAAAAAAACCTACAATCGTATAAATATAGATATATATATATATATATATTCAAATATTATATACAATAAACGTAAATACATATTTGTAAAAATCTCAACATTCATGCATTATTTTCCATTTATTCCTTTAATAAAATCTCAACATTCACGCATTAACACTTCTTCTACACTTTCTTGTTTTTCTTTCCTCGGAACTATCACAAACCTGAAAATATACTATCCATTAAACCAAAGAACTAAACAATCAAAAAGAATTGAACGTGAATTAAATACACATCCATGCTTCCTAGGTCCACACAATATTCTTTTCTTTTTTTAACCTAAATGAAGTGTAAAAAGGGAAAAACTGCTCTACTCTTACTTGCGTGTCTTCTTCTTTTCCATGTAACACATAACAGAGCTGCTCTTACTAGTTGAAGGGAATGAACTTTCAGGACACAATGGAGGCGGCTTTCCCATGAGAACCATTGGAGAAGCACCAATCTTGATGATTTGCAGCACTACTCTCCACGCCAAGACCAAAAAATGAGATGCTGGAATGGGCTTGCATTGCAAAGCAAAGGTTTGGATCAGTTTTAGAGCTTATCACGGAATTAGCAGATGACTTAACTAGTCCAATTGATGACGCCTGGGGAAAACAAGCAACATTTGATGATAAGTGCATTTTAAATCAGATGTAAACTCACAAATAACAAGGGGTTTCGGTAGTACATCAATGAGAGGAAGCATAAGCATTTATTCAAACACTCCAGCAGAAATATTTGATGACATACATGCAAGTGTGAAATGTTTGCTAGAACGTGATTGACAGATGTTGAAAGGAGAGGAGAGGTGTTTATGTCAGTTTGGCAAGCAATAATCATGTCAGAAATTCAATGCTTCCTCGTGCTATCCATGCAAAATCATTCAAGTGTTTATGCAAAGAAATCATAACGTACTCCACTCCAATGACAAACGGAAAACCACAGGGCACTTTTTGAAAACAAACGCACACTCACAGATAAAAAAAGAATCAAGATGCATGGCCAACAATATTAAATATTAGGGAAATGCTAGGTGTCATGAAGAATTTTCATGAAAACTGTCATGAAAACCATTTGTACCGTTAGATCAGGTATGTGTCTCATGATCCAACGGTGCAGATGGTTTTCATGACAATTTTCATGAAACGTAGCAGGACCCTAAATATTAGTGCCCATTATAATTTGCATCCCAATTCCAGAAATCTTTTACTTTCCAAAATATTGGCGCTATTAACAAATTCTCTTGGTTTATAAATAGGATAGCCCCACTGGAACTCCACTTTAGCTTCCCAAGCTCATGAATTTCCATGAACTCACATCTTGGAGGCAAGGAGCTGTAATTGGAGTGCCAAAGACACAATTTGAACATCAAGAATTGTGAGATGTAACAGTAAGCTATGGTGGGGGCTTTTCCATGGAGGTTCCAAAGGAAGGTTTACTCATACAAACACTACTATAATTCAAGTGCAGGAAACCTAAGTTGCACTTACCAGTCAAATATTGGAACTGAGTGACAAGTTTCATTATCACCCGAGGGTGGTAGCCTGATGGACTAAAGGTCATGGGTTCAAGTCCCACAGGTAGTCACTAGGGGGCACAAAGCTCATGCATATACCAAAAGAAACCATATCCACCAAGAACATTCCATTTGACCAAAATTTGGTAGATAGGAAAGAAAGCAATATTTATGAACAAAGTTCCATTTCTCACAGCTCAATGGGACAAAGATTTTAGAACTATGCATTGACAGTGACACATTGTAAAGCAGAAAGAGATGAAAGACAAACAACAAACAAATGAGCCGATTACAGCTGATGAGAATAATAAGGATAAGATTAAGCAACATAAGAGAAAGCAAGAGTACCTCAGCTGCATATGTGCCTCGATGGTTCAAATCAGCACCGGACATGTCCTTCACTCCAAACAAGCTACCAATTCCATCATTACCAAACAGTTGTTCTGGATCATTAAGAGCTACACCAAATGTTTCTTCATAGTTCTCAATATTCAAGTCAACTTCATCCATATTGAAGTCCTCATAGAATTTATCATCTTCTTCTAAATCAGGTGCTTTTATTCCAGGACAGCACGTCTACATATTAATTAGTGGAGGTCAGATTTTTACTCAAGCAACAGAGTAAACAGGTAACCTTAAACATATTCATAATACTATAAGCACTATTAAAAAACGTACTTTTTGCGACCGCTATAAACTGTCGCAAATAATAAAAAACAGTCGCAAAAGGCATTTTGCGACGGCCCATGCGACGGCAAATGGAGGTCACGAATATGAGGGTGGCAAATACTTTTTGCGACAGCAAAGCAACAGTCGCAAATTATTTGCGACCGCCTAAATTACTTGTAGCGACCGCTATTTTGCAAAAAACAAAAAAAAACACTAACATGATTTTTGGCGATCATCTTGTTACTGTCGCAAAAAATAATAATAATAATAAAATAAATAAATAAATAATTTGTAACGTTAAGCACTCTAGGAATAGCAGTGACAAGAATTCATACCGTATAACATTGTAATTTAATCAAGCATTCCATTTGAGTCTCAAAATTTGAGCCATATGTGAAAGTCATTACAACTAAAAACTTGGAAAAAAAAATTTTATGAAAAAATTACAATCCAAATAGAATGCTAGTAAAGTCAAAATCTACAATGTTGGTGTTCACCACTGTACAAGGTACCGGTTGAGTTCCAATTTGTTACCGTGGAGATATATGTTCCTCAAATCCAAGCTTGCACCTAATCAATATACATTATGAAGAGGAATAGATCAAAACACAGACTACCCAATTTCTAGATCTTTCTTTAGATATAAAGCCTCAAGCAGAGCAAACATTGCAAAGAAATTATGAAAATCAAAATAGACAGCCAGAAAACAACCAAGATGCCATTTACAAAACAGAACAAGAGTGGTTCCATATAGAAACATATGATGCTTATAGAAAATTATTGTCCATTTTGTTTCCTGGTCATCCAGCAGGAGAAGCCTCCCTAATTTAATATTTTATCCCTAAGTATAAGACAGATAAACAGTAGACAACAAATGTACTCCATCCTGAAAGACAAACAAGAAAGATTTGATCTTTTCTGCCCTGTCTAAGTAAGATTCTATCAATAATCTGAAGAACAATTCATTAATCAAACTTTTAAATGTTCCAAGTGCCACAAATGAACAATTTTCAGTAAGCCTTCTAGTCCATGCTTTCGAGCTCTACTGACAAATAATATCAGTAAATGCCACATGATACCTTTACACTAGGCCAATAAACCAACCACATTGAATTCTAAATCAGTTCAAAACTCTAGATAGCAAGACTTTTGCTTTCATCATTCATTCAAAAATTGAACTAATTTAAAAGCATTTCAAAAACCAAAGGGATATGGTGCAAAAAAAGCAATGGAAATGCAAGGAATCATTAGAAACATAAACTAAAACTTATCAATATGTATATACTAGCAGTAACCCATGTTATGCACGAACCTTATATTCCAAAATGAGTCATTGTAGCCATCTCATAATATAAAATTTGTGATGATATAATTATACCACTTGAATTTTCTACATAGATGCCAGCCACATATCAAGAAAATGGTTTAAAGAGAAAAATAAGAGCAAAAGGGATTCGAGTTCGTAGTGGAAGGACATACCAGAAAGACTCTCTCTAATTTAGCTTCATTTCGAGCAGAAATAATAAGCTTAACACCTAAACTTGCAAGTTGTTTGGCAAGAACCTCCCATGCCATCCAATAGTAAAGAGAAAAATAAGGCTTTCGCTAAAACATGGAACAAATGAAGCTCCAAAGTAGGAAAAACTCACACAACACTTTGGCAAATAAGAAGAAAGATGCCTAGAGTGAAAGAACCAAAACTAGAGCTCAAAGCGTCAGTTATTGGAAAAAGATAAAAGGAACTAAAAATAAAATCTCATGCTTCCAAATTATTTTCTTTATGATTAAAAAAATATATGGAAAAGGCCAAAATCTTGAACACCTAACCCATTTAAACAAGTTTAAAGACTTGATTCAACATAAGACCAAGTTTCATCAAGAGATAATGTACACACCTGCAAAACATTAAGCATCATCTTAAAATCAGTAAAGCACAAAAGTTACCAGGGCATTAAAAGTTAACAATAAGAACCCAAAGCATTTCAAAATTTTCCACCAGAAGTCGTCAGTCCTTTTCTTGGTTGCAATTGAAAGGTGGTCATTCCAAAATTACATATTACGCTCAAAACTCGAATATTTATATGTAATAGAGAACCTTCTAGCAAATGAAACAACCATCTAGAAAAAACAATGAGATTCCACAAATTTATGGTGTTTGCCTCGGAAAAAGACACCACGGTGCAGAACAGGATCCCACTACCATCCAAAGTTATCCCAGTTTGACAATTTCTATTCCTAAAACATGAACAATATTGGTATAATGAACTTGGCCTGGTCGTTTATGCACATAAAACCTATTTCAAGAAGATTGAAACTGCTAAGTGAAAAATGAAAGAATATATACACACAACATACACATAAATGAATTTAATTTAAAGCTATAATTTCACATAGGCATATGCTATTTTTCTAACAAACAAAACAAGTATTCTCCTGAATTCATCAAAGGAGCTCCAAGGCATACCTCAAACAGCTAATTATCAGCATTCAAACCATGAAGTCAATACTTAACATTACTAAATCAAACGTTAAACACATAAATTTGTTTACTAAAACAGTAATTAATCGCATACCAATGCCACGGCTTGCCCCAGTGATCCAGACAACCTAACCATTCAACAACAAAATAATCAAATCAATACTTAAAACATCAGAATAACAAACAACATGATATAAATTCTTGAACGGTGATCTTGTTCTATAATAAAATTTGTTAAAAACTTGGTTTTTATGTTTAGTCTTGCAATGAACAAACTACAAGTACCGTCGGAAATGGTCTAGATTGATAATGTATAACTTTATGAAAGTGTCCAAAATGAAAATAAGGAATAACGACTGGTATATGAACTGAAGGACCAGGCGGAGGATTGCGAAAATATTAATAGTTTCAGAAGTCAAAGAGTGAAGTGGGGTCATTATAATAATAGAATATCAAGCATATGGGATTGAACAATAGACAATGGGGTCATTATAATATTATAGACAGAAATTGATTATAAAAGATGGAAACGATCATTTCAAAAACATAAAAAATCAAGCAATGAGAATCTAGAAAATGCATAGATATTTTATTGAAAGCAAACCTACCAAACTATCTTACATGGACTTGGGTATGTATCTAGAGGTTGGAACCCATCAAGCCTCATATTTGAGAAAACATGTACATGGCAAAAAATGGTCATATTTTTATATTTTTAATCTATTATGTGAAATAAAATGATGTTATATATAACATACAGTGTCAAAAAGACATTTTATTCATTTTATAGTAATTATACAACAATATATACATATAATGATAGTGTTAAATACAAATATATAAATGTCCAATGAAAAGTATCCTATACATATCTTACACCCTTATCCAAATGTCGGGTGTCCGATAAGAGTATTTGATTTATTTTAAGGTGTCCATGTAACTTAGTTAGTGGGCCTTCCAACCACCATCTCTAAACATACACATAACATCTGTAGATAGAGAATAAAGATTACTCACATTTGGTAGTTTAAGGTAACCACTAGGGGCCAAGTGAGCCTGCAACCCACAAATTAAAATCCAGTGCATGAAGTCTCATTAGAGAACATAATAAGATTTAAAATTGCAAGAAGTGAAGAGAAGCATACAACCAATCTTCTCTTCAGAAGTTCACATGTAAGAAAGTTTTCCAACACTAGTAAAGTTGTATAACTGAATCAAGTTCGAGAGATGTATACTTGGACATCGGCACTGTAGACCTCTGCCAGACTGCAAAAGCAAAAAATTAGGTTTCAAATTAAAAATTATTACAATGTTATAACGTTTATTTGAATCCAAACCGACAACAGGCTTATGTGTTTGATTTTGAGTTATAGAACGCTAGGATTTAGTTACACTCTCCGCCAAAGAGATTTAAAGTTCTCATCAGATGTGTTGTTTGCCCTAAAAGTCTGAATTGAAATTTAAAAGAGAATAATAAGACACTCACCCTTAGAACTATTTCTTTTTATATAGATAAGTAAACTTCAAATGGTGCCATACCCTCTTTATACCCTGTTCTTTCTCAGCAAAATTGGGATAATCATAATATGCCATCCCCTACTTGTACTAGAATCCATCAAGTTACACATAAATCTCCAACTTATTACTCCCTTCCTACATTGCCCTATACCCTCTCCGCACTTCGTATCTGAAGGAATTTTAAATATTGTTGAGTTTGATGCGATAATAACAAAGAGATTATAACCGCACTTACACCACAAAGAGGAATAGAAGCTGTACCAGTATGAGGTCCTCCTAATGAGACAAAAAATTTGACCTGTTCTATAAAAGGGAGAAAATTGTCATTGTCAAAGACTCGGGAGTTCAGGAAAGAAAGATGTATTAAACTACATTACAAAACAAATGTGCCATTGCACTGACCATTTGGCTCCCTATGTCATTAGAGATAGTTTCAAAACCACAATTAGAAGGAAAAATGTGACTCTAGAAAGCAACCAGTAAATGTCAAATAGGATAATTCACCCATTCCAAAGGTACATATTAGAAAACCATTGACACTTCTAAGAAGGTGACGTGTTTGTGTCCAACACACGTCGGACATACTCCCTCTCTTCTAAGAAGGTACATATTAGAAAAGCATTCACATCAATTTGTTTTCATAAATAATTTCAAATAAAAGCAGAGAGTGAGAAAAAATGAGAGATTCAAACAAAAAACAAGAAGAGATTGAAACAAAGAACAGAGAAGTAAAGATCAACAAAATGCAGATAAACAAACATGTAAACGAACACATCGAACACTTAGCATTTTTAACATATGAAACACTTCAAAATAAGTAGAATGAAATCAAAAATGACTTATGTGATATAGAACAGAGCAAGAAACAAGTAGTTGATCAAACAGTTACAATCAAAATCAAAGACCAAAATCACATTACCAGTAGTTTCCTGACGAAAGTCACAGTTCCAGCATGAATAGCAAGGAAAAACACCGTGACATCAGTCTTGAACTCTTTATACTCAACGCGAACCTCATTCGCCAATTCATTGCGACATACCTTCAAGCACACAGCGCCAACGAAGTTGACATCAACGAACCGATCGAAGATGCAGTCAAACGTAGATTTTAGATCGTTATAGTGAGAATCTTCGAGGAGGCGCTGCGAGACCTCCGCTTCACACCAGAAATCTCAGGAATTGGAAAATAAATACTCTATTAAACCCTAGAATTGAAAAATTGGAGGTCTCCATAGTCGACTTTAGCGAGAAAGAGAAAGAGAAGCATCCGTGACGGAGAAGAGGCCCAGCGGAGGGGAGACAGAGAGAGTTGGATTCATTCTTAGAAATTAGGCTTACCGAATATGAATCGATCGAAATCTTCAAATCTTTATCAACAATTGATTGAAATTTTCAAATGAACAATAAAATTATGAGTGGAGAATAAAAAGAGAGAGTCGAGCGAGAGAGAGTGGAGAGAGAGAGAGATACCGTTGGAGGTCTCTTCAGCTGAAGAGAGCGCGAAATGGAGACATCATTGGGAAATAACGCGTGTGGAGTTTAAGTAAAATTAGATTTTGGAAAATAACGCGTGTGGAGCCTAAGTAAAATTAGATTTTGGTGTAAAAAGTGATTTTTTGCTACGGTTAAATAATCGGTCGCAAAAAAATAGACGCAAAAAGTCATATTTCTAGTAGTGAAAGTTGATCAGTTTTGTACTTTGGCAATCTTAATTGATCTAACAAATTATCACTGCATGCATTTTATTTTAATCTTCTTTACAAGCATGGCTGGGATTGAAAATGTGTCATATAACATTCCAAGAAGAAAGGCCCAAAGCTCAAAGCCAATGCGTAAGGTTGAGAGGGAAAATAATGATGGTACTGTTTGGCTGACTAGAATGATTAAGATTGTAAGGACCAAGAAAATATATGAAGAATGGAAGAGCAAAATCTTCGCAACCATGCTGTAAAACAAAGGTGCTGCAAGAACTATCACTAGATAATATGCAAAAGTCCTACTATGAGAATTCAGAAGAGAATGATAAACTAAGAGCAAGGTATGCAACCATGGAACTATAAAAGCAATTTGGTTACACCAACAAGATGATCATATTTGTCTACTTGGGTAATTGACATAGGAGCTTAAGAGAAATCAAAAAAGCCCTTGCTTGACATGTATGCTGAAGTTTCAAAATAGAATCAGACATATGTTTACCTCACTAAAATCAAGGAAATATCAAAATAGCAGAGGTGTATGAACCCAACTTAACTGATTTGTCCCAATCCCCACTGGCTTTTTCTATGTTTTGTTAAGGTGCTCTAGGTTAAGTAATAAGTAGTAAACTTTCTAGTTAAAACTAAGCTAACAGATTACTTAGCTAACTGAGGAAATAAAGTCCACAAAGTCGGTATGGCCAGAAATGAAATCAATCTAACATCTTGCTGATTCTATAGACTTCTATAGAATTGTTGATTGCTCACTATTCATGGAACAATGTTTTTGCCCTAATTTGTTATGTTCATCATACATAGAATCATCTCACTTCCTAAAAGCAGTTGTCATTGTTTACATTATTAATCTCAAGTTTTGAGAACCAAAATGAGGATTCACATTCGAGCTTGACTGCAAGTGCAGTAAGAAGTAAATACAATGACCAAGGTAAAATATGAAGCCCTGTTTGATTGTGGGATTAATTACAATGAGTTCAACCGAGGCTATAGAAATCAGCAATTCTATAGCCCTTTCTCAGACCTATAGAAATCAACAATTCTATTGTGGGATTAAATACAATGACCAAGGTAAAATATGCATAGTTTATCATCGTTGATATTTGATCTTTCTCAGACCTGAATTACAAATGCTGCCACAGAAATGGAGTCTAATTCTGGAAACAAGCTCCCTGTGCTACAAACTGCTGCAGCGCTTGCAGTTTCCTTTTCTATCTGCAAAACTACCTCTTGGCTCACCAAATTATCTGGAATTAAATGAGGTGAAATCAAGCATGTGAGAGCAATGCTATATATACGATCAAGTTAATGGATCAGACCTCTTTGACACAATTTAGGAAAGCTGCACGCAGTTGCATTCAGGTCACTTACGGTATCCATTTTTCTACATTATAATCACTAATCAGGGTGGCAATAATGTCCTTATGTAAAGTGCTATCATAGGAGAGATAGCTGGATTTCTGTTAAATTTACACCGACAATGTAAAATAGTGATGTTTTTTAGCTGTTAATTTAATATGGTTGGTTTTTGTCAGCATCATTATCCATTTTTGTTCAACATGTTTGTGCTTATCACTTGTTTTTAATTTTAAAATCGACATCCCCATCTTGGATATGTTCATTTCTGATTATTATTATTAATTAAATTAATTATTTATTTAAATATTGAGAGATGGTTTTTCATTAGTAAGGGGCAGGTCAATCTGGAGCATTGAGAATGTTACTACATATAAATAAGGAGGTTCTAAAGAAACAGAGGGAAGTACAGAGTTTTAAATATCTTGAATCATTTTTATTTATTTTTTAAAAATATTAGGATGTTGGGGTGTTTAGATGTTCGGTCTTGAAGTGATGGCATTACACTGGAAAAAGAAACTACTTGCCGTAGACTTAACTCTGTAGGGCCTTCCTCTACTGAAGGAATTGTGGGACCTTTTCTGGAGGCACCTGGAAAGAGGTAATGTTCTATTATTGAAGGTCATCTGTTTTAGTTCATCTTCAAACACAATTTGTGGTCATCTGTCTGAGATGGGAACATTTGGGTGGAATTTGAGTAGCAAAGAGAAGAAATTCAATTCTAGTATATTAATATCAGTGAACTTGTGTTACTGATCAATCAAAGAAAATGAATGAACAAGTAAGTAATAAACAAATAAGTATCATCCAGAGATTGCTTAGTCAAAGGAGTCAACATAGGAACTCAAGTTTGGATAGTTCTAAAAGGACTTCTCTCTTTAAATTTGTAATGTAGTTCAAATATTAAGAAATATATAAACTCTGTCACGAGGTTCATATCTGTATGTATGTGTGTTTCATACTTTCAATTCAAAATGAATTCTGAAACTTGTTCTTTTCTTAGAGTTCCTAGATTTCAAGTATTATTCCTGCCTTTATGCATATATGTCAATGCATTATCTGTTGAGCTATACAAAATGTGATTATACAAAATGCATTATCTGTTGAGGTACACAAAATGTGATTATTCATGCCTTTATGCATAAATGTCAATGCAGACTTCACATTTGAAATGAAGCAGAATAACATGATTTTGTTTTTTATGCTTACCTTTCAATATTTTCTTTCACTTACCTACCCAAAAAATTTTCTTTCACCTCTATTGAACTTGCGTTCATTATTTATGTATGTACTTGCTTTTTGCTAGTGAGATACTGAGAGAGTACCGAAGCCAAATGACAAAGCTATCACAAAGAATTATGGAGATTGTGCTGATGTGTTTTGGGGAAGATTTTGAGAGGAAATTTGAACTGGAGTTCACTAACTGCCATGGTTATTTAAGAATATTCATTCATCATTTTTTGATTAATATTAATTCATAGAATCTGGTAAAACACCAGAAATAAGCTAACAAATTAGCAAAAACAAGATCAATCACCGAAATCATGTCTCTATCTATCTGTATAACTTTAAATTAGCAAAAACAAAATGAATCACCTAATAAATCAACAACACAGATTAAAGAACGATCAAAATCAACACAGAAATTCAGAATAAATCAACACAGAAATTCAGCGACTAGGCACAAAACAAACACCCTAGATTACAGAGAGAGACAGAGAGTTGGATTCAACCTTCCAACATTATAGATTAATCAACCATTACAAAGAGTAATCGATGAAGATGAAGATTGCAGATTAATCAACCATTACAGAGAGTAATTCATTTTCAATTTACACATTACATATTAATCAATGATGATGTGTCAAACATTACAGAGAGTAAGATTCAAGCGATGAAGATGAATCGATGAAGATGTCTCAAACACTACATAGTTGAATAGATGAAGATGTGTCAAACATTACAGAGAAAGACAAAGAGAAGTACTTAGGCTTACCGATTATGAATCTCGATTATGAATCGATCGAAATATTCATCAACAGTAGATTGAAATCTTCAAATTTTTATCAACAGAAGATTATGAACCGATCAAATCTTCAAATCTTCACTGTCGAGCGAGAGAAACAGTGAGATTCAAGCGAGAGAGACTAGAGATTCAAACGAGAGTCGAGTGAGAGACAGATTTTGAGAGAGAGAGAGAGAGAGAGAGAGTTCAGATTTGGGAAATAAGAAAAAAAGGGACACAGGGCAAGTTTTACAAATTTTTATTTTCTTTATTTTTTTTTATTATTGTTTGGGTTAAGAACACAATTGGGTCAAGTAAAATGATATTTTAATGTAAAAAGTAATTTTTTTGCGACGGCCAAATAATCCGTCGCAAAAAAAATAGACGCAAAAAGTGATATTTTTGGTAGTGATATATATATATATATATATATTTTCACAATACAAGGTGGGTTAGCCAATTGTTTAACCTTACATGGAGATGCTGTGTAATGAGCTCCGCTTGAATTACTAGCTTGTAGTTGTGCACTTTGTTTTTAGTTGAGTAATGGTGTAAATATAGAATTACTTGTGTGTATTTGTGTACCTAGTTCTTGGATAAACTTATCATGAAACGAATCTGTCCCTAGATGTTTGGATCATAACCGATCAGTAATCATGAGATTACTTATGGTCTCAGACAAAATTCAAATCATATTTAGTTACATGGGGCCAGAAGCGGAAGTAGAATAATAGAATTTGTCCAATGAACTTGTGCATATATGGCATGAACAAAAACATTTTATATATTAATAACTTACACTCATATTCAGTCAAACAGACATTACATATCCATAGATCATTCACAAGTCATTAACATTCAAAACTCAAAAGCTTATGTACAACTCAATCTAACATGACCAACAAAAGAAAACAAAAAATCAAAAGACAAAAGCCTCTTCCATGAGGTGCTCCTTAGCTGACTCCACAAAACTTGGATACACACAAAACTTCTCTAAGGTTGGGTATCCCACTACTCACCTACATACATATATATAACAGAGAGCTAAAATTCAATGAATAACATCATAGTAAATAGATTATATAAATGAGTTCTATTACATAAATAAAATCATTCTTATAGTAAAATCATTGCATAGCGGATACATGACAGAATGATCTTTGGTCCAACATATAGCCAAAAAAAAGGAACAAAATAGATCATAACATGACGGAATGACCTAGGGTCCAATCCATTACAGATGTATAATGACCATCTGGTCAACACATATCAGACATCTCAGAAGGGATTGTCAAATACATTTATACATAGTCAATTACATTTACAAATATCTTATTGATCAAATAGATAAAATGCTCATTCATATTTTCAAAATCATAAGTGCAAAAAAGCTTACCATGTTGGTACAATCAGAAAATAGAATATAAGAAAACATCTTTACTAAGATATCACTCATAGTGATTTGGTTGTTGACTTCACTTCGTGGATCAACCTACATAACATACAAACACATACACACATTGGATCACATTACTTAATCAGGTCACCATTCTCTTGATTAATTCCTTTATATTCAATTCTTACTTACTAAGTTATTCATGAGGCTTATTTCGTGCCTAAGGATGCTTGGAAGGAAGAGTGGATGCAAATACAGACATAATATGACTTTTCAAAATAAGTTGAAACAGGGCAATTTGCTTGAGCACACAAGTGGTCGCTCGCGGACTGCATAGTTTACAAAAGTACTGGATGGTCCGAATCTAGGCTCGATGGTCACTCAAGCTAAGGTGCAAAATAAACTGAGGTTGCTCGAGCGGTCACTTGGTCGCTCGAGCCAACTGCAAAACTACTGGATGCATGATATGTGCGCTCGAGCAACAAGTTCTTTGCTAGAACGGTGCGGTCGAATTCTAGGTTTTCCAAAACTAAATTTGAGCTTCAAAACACATGTTCAAAGTATAAAACCTTGCCTGACGTGATCTTAACCTTAAATATACTTCCAAAAACATGGATAGAAAACCAATTCTAAACTTTAGCTCAAAACTTCATAATTTTGCTAAATTGAAGCTTAAAATTTCATGCATGTATGATCTTGGCTTAAATTCTTTTCCTACTGTAACACCCTCAAAATAAACCCATAATAACCATAACATTAACATGCATTTATAAAAGAAGACGAATCATTTGAGTTATTCATCAGAGTATTCTTATTGAAAGACATTACTTGTAACATCCTGAAACATCAAAATAAATGCCCTAAGGGCTTACATCTTTCCAAGCTAACACTTGGACACAAAAAGGATGAGTACTAACTCATTTACAAGTTAAGCCCTAGGCTTGAATGTTTACATGAAATCTCAAAAATAACAAAATAAAACATATAACTAAAGACAAGTCTTCAAAATCCCAAACACCATATCCTTCCAGGCTAAGTCCGTGGAGGTAGCTTATCAACTGAACCTGAAAATGATGTTCCCATAAAGGGTGAGCCACAGCCCAGTAGAAAAATACTAAACCAAATATAAGCATTGAATAAAGCTATAGCACTCAATAGATGGTTAACCAAGATAATCAATTACATCATTATACAGTTTCATGACACTAATGTCTAATTGATTTTGTCTAATTAATTTAATCTGAATCAAATTCTAATCAAACTTCCCATTAGGCTCTAAAGATTATGCCATTCTAATTAAACTAATCAATTTTGGTTTTTGAAGCCATTAAGGCCTTCAATTTCGAATTCGAAACAAAAATCATAACAAATATTCCAACAACCAATAGATATGCATACAAAATCACATTAAACACATAATTAGCATTCATAATTAAGTAAATATGAGTGTAATATGTGACGGGGTTGTCACAAGACTAGTATTGTTGAGACTTCTTGTGTCGAAAAGTCATCTTTGTGGACCTTACTTCATAAGAGTAGCCTTTTTCTTTGTGAGAGTTGACTGAGAGTTTCTTGTGGTGAGTGTGTTTTATCCTTGGTGTTCGAGGTGTTGAACGCTCTGATGTTGTTTGAGTGTTTGTATGCGGTTGGAAAGTGGTTGGCGTATTGGGTGCAAGAGGAACACGTTAACTGAAGTCTAGTCTCGTAGACTCTATTGAGTTATATGGGTCATAGAGACATCCGTGGCCTTACTTTGTTAGAGTCGTTACTCCGAAAACCCATACATAATGGGGAACTCTATTTTGATTGACATTCTTCTTTCTATTATAGTAGACGAGTCGAGAGTGACTCACTATTCTTTATCTTGTTGATTTTGTCACTCGAGAGTGTTTGTGGTACTGAGCTTTGTGTTTGTCTCACCTCGAGTATGGATGTATCTTTAATTTTGGAGACGAAATTTCCTAAGGTGGGAAGGTTTTAGCACTCTGAAAATTTTCTCTTAGCTAGAGCACAAGAGTGAGTGCTCAAGCAGTCTTTTGAACCATCCAGTACAATGGTCTACAGCTTGAGATTCTGAGAGTTTGAAATGTTTGCTCGAGCACAGGTTTATCTGCTCAAGTGGTATGTGCATTTCGCGGTCTAAGATATTGGGAGTTTGTCATCATCACTCAAGCGCAACTTTTACCGCTCGATCGGTCTTCTGTCTCTCATGCTGGAGCACATGTTTCACCGCTCAAGTGGTCTGTTCAGGATCAGCTATTTAAATGTCACTCTTTAGGTCAAGTCTCTTTCACTTTTCGCTCTCTCTTCTCTCTCTCACCTCCATTTCCGAGCCCCACGCTTTTATACCTTGGGTTTCATCTTCTTAGTGAATCCCATCCTAGTTGCATATACCAAAATGTAGAGTACGGCGAGAACTTTTTTATCTAAGTGGATCGTCTCTTCATTTTTGGTGGATTTTCAAGTTTTCTTCTCTCTCTTCAAGACGTAGGGATTTCTTTACTCTCTTTTTTCCAATACTTTGCTATAGATAGATACATGATAGTTTTTATTGCATGAAAAATGTAGTTTTGGGAAGAGATTTTAAAATGCATATAGATAAGGGTTAGGGTTTGGAACTAAATGAGTTTAATCTTGTATTTGGTGTTGATTATGAAAGTATTTTGTTGATAGAATATGGTTGTGGTAAGTTAAATAAAAAGCCCTAATTTTATTTACTTGATTAGTAATTTGGAATTGAGTAGTAGTTATGTTTGTGACGGTTGATGAATCTAAGCTAAATTCACGGAATTGAAGTTGTGAAATGAGAGAGAGATTAATTAGTGTTTATGAAACCTAGATATGACAAAAGGTTGAGAAATTAGTAGAATGGGTGTTTCTAATGATTAAGTGAGCTATATTCATATTGGTGAAATTAAATGTAAAATGAGAGAGATAGAAAATGAATAGTTGTCATGAACATAGATTATGTTGATAAGTGGGATTAATGTAATTAATTATAAAAGTTATTGGATAAAGTGAATGTTTACTTGAACTTGGGAAAGGTGAAGGACATTGAGATTATGAGAATTTATGTTTTCTTTGTCTTGAGATTTTGTTATTGGCTATCGGTGAAGGATGGTATTGTTTGTTGTAAAATTTATGTGAGCTAGGTTGAAATGAAATCTTATGTGTTATGTATAATTTCTGTAATCGCATTGTTAATGAGAATGAATGGAAGGAAAGTTGAGATGCATGTGTTGTGGAAATGTGATTGTGCTATATAGAGGTAACGTGTTCCTTCCGGCTAGCAACCAATAAAGCGGGCTGATGCTATATAGAGGTAATGCATTCCTTATGGCTAGTGACCGATAAAGCAAGCAATGCTATATAGGGGTAATGCATTCCTTCCAGATGGCAACCGGTAGAGTAGGTTGGGCTATACATAGGTACCGTGTTCCTTCTGGCTAGCCATCGATAAAATGGGGTTATGACGTGGGGCTTGGCAAGACCACGGGGTGTTGATGTGTTTCAAATTTTATCGTTGATCTAAGTATATTTGTTAAGATACTTGTTGATGAATTTTTGTACTGAAATTATCATTGAGACTGTGTTATTGAAGTATTTATATATTGAGGTTTAAATTGGTTTTGGTATTGTGATGGGTACTCGGCTTGTTGGTAGTTCTAGCGTTAGTATAGTTCTTTAACCATGAAATTACTAAAAATGATGGTGTGAGTACAGGTTTTAAAGGTGAATGAAGTAAAAGAGAATTTTTGAATACTTGAAGGTGATTTGAAAAGTGAGAAATGTTTTCTTGAATGGTTTAATAAGAAATCTTTTGGAAAACATATATCTATGTACATATATTTTGATATAGAAAGATGACAATACTTATATAATTATCACTTGTGCATTCATGATCATATTTTTCTATTGACTACTATTGTTTAGAGGTAATGGGATTCCTACTGGACATATTGTTCATCCCATGTTGTTAATCGTTGAAGAATTGTTCAAAACCAAGATGTCTTTTATTTATTGGCCATGGGACCTAGCCCATGTAGGCGGCATGCCAACTCAGTTCAAAGAGGGTTAATCCCTTTTTACTTATTTGTTCGTTTTATTTTTTTTCAATGTAAGCCTAAGGGTGTTTGTTGTAATTTTTGTATTTGAACATTTCATCGTTGTATACGAGAGAGAATGTTATTGTTTGTTAATTGTTATTTGCTTCCGCAATTATATCTTGAAAATGGACATTAATAAAGAAATTTGGTAATGTATTCGATTAATAAAAATTTAAGGCCTTATAGACCCTCATTCCCCCTCTCTTTCCTCCTCTTTTTTTCTTCTTTTTCTTCTTTTCCAGATTTGGTCTCTCTCTCTCTCTCTCGTGCTCTATTGGTGGTGAAAGAGGGCAAAGAGGTTGGTCGTGATGATGAGGGTAGACGGCGAGGCTGTTTGCAATGAGGCGAAGTGGTGGCATTGTTTGCGTTAGGCGGTGGAGAGTGGAGCTGAGTTGTGGTGGTGCTATTCGCAATGGGGCAGAGAAACTAGGTCATGATGGTGGCGAGGTTGGTCACGATGGTGGGGTGTGTTGCCAATAGATGTGGGGGAAAGGTAGCTAGTGGAAAAGGGAGTTACCAGTCTGACCGGGGAAAGAGAATGAGTTGGAGGTTAGTCGCCGAAGATGGCAAAGTTGGTGAAGATAGAAGCTGAGGTCGCCAGAGATGGAAGTTGGGGTTGCCGGTGGAGAGGGTGGTGAAAAGGTGAGTGGGTTAGAAATTAGGGTTAGGTTTTAAGGGATTGTTTGGTAATATGATAAAATTGTAATTTAAAAAAAAAAGGAAAAGAATTATGAATGTAAGGAGTTATAATGATGGTGTAAATAGAATTATCAATCGCATGTCTTGAAACTAAAATAAATGTTTGAGAGAGGTTTCACCGAATGTCGCCAATCTAATCCCATAATTAGCAAGACTAAAAGCTTAGGAAAAGTTCACTTTCCTTCCATAATTTACGCTCAAAACACTTTACTCCTTATAATTTAAATATAAATAAAGAATTCTTATGTCATTCTAGACTAAATTACTATCGATAAACTTCCGTTATGTATAACACACTAATTTTGAGAGTCAACCTCGTTTTTTTTAAATTAAAGTGAAATTAAAATAACAATACATTTATGCCTTATTTTCACTGTGTACTTCCAAAACCCTAAGGACCCTAACCCTATCTAGCCAACCCTTCTCCCCTTTACAACAATTGTTGCCGCATCTTCCTCCTTGTCCTTCATAACATTGCAATTGTACCATTTTCCCTCCCCAGCCATCAACATTGTCCTCACTCCCCATTTCATGTATTAACCAAATCATTCAGTTCACATTGCAGGAAAATTCAACATCAGTGGCATTTCATAAGCGGCGCTATAGGCTTGAAAAACGCCATAATAGGTTATGGCAATGTTTATTTTTTTCATCATTAATGCGACCATCATCAAAGCTTTACGACGTTTTTAAAACGTCGCTAATACTTATAGGCAACATTTTTTTAAACGTTGCAATAGCTTAACACCTGTTAATTTATTTCTGTCACAAATAACATATTATCTCACGATTACGTCATTTAGCTATAGTTTTTACAAAAACGACATGTTTTCATTTTTTTTTGTCTTTTTTAGGTTTGATGTCATGATTACATCATTTAACGACGTGTTTTTACAAAAAATGCCATTTATTTATTTATTTTTGAGGAAGAACACAGGGCCACATTATATCAAAATTGAACACTTCAAAATAAAGCAAAGAAATAGCACAATACATCAAAATTGAAGTATTGAGGCAGAAAGAAAAATTTTAAATCCAAATATTAGAACAAGATGATGAAGGATAATGCCAAGCGTTGGCTCAATTACTAAAACAACCAATGGGATGAATTGACAAAACATCATAAATGACCCAAAAATGAATCAGCAACTACCCCTTATAAGGCAATGAGAGAATATAATTACAAATGTCAAAGAAAGTCTCGGTGTGAATTTTTTAGTTGCTCATAGCTCCGACCCTACTTTCAGTAATAGCCAACTCTCAATTCTACCTGTGTTGGTTCCTGGGTGTCATCGCCCTTTCCTAGAAATATTAGCCGACCTACGTTACCCAGACAAAGACAACCATATTTTTTTTAAGCAAGAACCCTCTATTAACTTGTAAGCTTTCCTAAACAAACAAACAAACTGATGAAACTTCTATTATCTAGAAATTCATATGAGAAACTGCTAAAAAAATGTTATGGCAATGAAATCCACTTGCCTTCATGACAAATCACTTTTAAGCAAAATAAAAAGAAAAACATAAAAAGATTTCTGAAAATTGCTCTTAACAAGGTAAAGTTCCTTTTGTTCACATATCAGAGAGGTTTGTAGTCCTTAATGCCCAATGCATATAACAACCAAAATTCTGTCAAGCAATCAACCTCAATGACTACTCCATAAAGATATAAACATTGAAATTCCAAGGTTCTATACTGTCTTGTCAAACTAAACCAAACCCCATACAGTTCAGCATGGTATATTCTCAACACCTAGGAAGCACAGGTGTGAGTACGGATACGGGGTGCGGGTATGCCGATAGAGCAAATTCTTTAAAAAGTAGGGTATGTGTATGGCTGGGGTACGCCAAAATTTTTTTTTTTTAAACTAAACATCTAACATACAAATCGATGTTTAATAACATAATTAAAAAGAGAAATTACAAAACCAAATAAATCATTCTTCAACAATACCAACAATACTAAAGTAAGTCCATGAGCTATTTGAATGTCATCACATAGAATAAATTAGAAAAATGAGTTTCATGCCAAAAACAAACTAAACAAAAATAAAAGATAACTACATCAACTTGTCTAAAAAAAGTTTTATAATTCTTTCTTTTTCTTTTTTGATTGTCTAAAACAGGATGCTAAATAAAGCAAAGCCATGACTCATAGGTAAAGGGTGTTGGAAACAAATTACCTAATAATTTTCGAAGAAAGAAGAATAATAAAGGTTACAACAAATTCTAGCAGCTGCACACAAAAAAATGAAAATGCATATATAAAACGGATCCAAAAAGAAGGAGAATCGATGAAGATGGAGAATCAAAGAAGAACAGATCGAAAAAGAAGGAGAAGGAAAGAAGAGGGAGAATTGAAGAAGAGGGAGAATCGAAGAAAAATAGATCAAGTACCTACCTCTATGAAAAATTGCTGCGAAAAGTTGAAGAATAGCTGAAAATCGAATCACAGTTGCTATTGAAAAATCGAAGAACAGCTAAAAAATTGAACCAACTTTGCTACTGAAAAATCAAAGCCGTCTTCGTCTTCTTCGTAGTCAAAGAGTTGTTGCTGGTTGCGTATAACATAAACCTAATTTGTTTATGTTTTGATTATTACAAAATAACCCCTAAATTTATAATTTTTTCTTAATTACCCACAAAATTTGCTCCAGTACCCTTAATATATAAGAAAATTTAATTTTTCACCCCACCATACCCAAAACGTACCCAAACGTATTTGTCGTACGTAACCAGCATATATTCACCATACCTAGTACGTGTGCATCTGTACCAGTACAAGTACCCACACCCGATAAGTACCCGATACTCATACAACACCATTTTTGAAGTACCCATGCTTCATAGCTCAGCACCCAAATAGTGCATTAGGGCTTTTCAACAGACAAAGCAAAACTACTAGATCCAACTCAACAACAATAAAAGATCAACAAATTACACATGCCCACAAAACATTCATCAGAACAAGCTCAGTGAAGATCCACAGTAACATTACAAAGATTTAGAGAGAGAGAGAGAGAGACACCTCAGTAACACTTCAATAAGAAGAAGTGTTCGATCTACTTCTTTTTCTTCCCGTTCTTTGATATTTGAACATGCATTTAAAGAAGAAAAACAAGTAACATGAATAAAATGTCACATTGAAAATTTCATAATCAACTATTTACTCATTTACAGAGATTTAGTCCTTTTAACATAGAAGGCTTTGTCTCAACAAGTACAGAATCTCTCTCAACTTATAAAATAAGAAATCCCAAACATTAATTAATACTCCTTAAACAAAGATTAATGACCAAGCAACTTGAAGCCACTATAGATGAATTTTAAATTAAAAAAAGAAATCAATCACATTACAGTCACTATTAACTCCCCAAGCAGTCACTATCACCTCCCCAAGGCCAAGTCCAACCACATATGTGGTTATTAACCTAATAGTCACGCTGCTGCAGAAAGAATAAACAACAAAGAAATCAACCTCTTGTTCTTTTTTTACTATGATATTAATAACCAAGAGAGTAACTTAATAAGATTCTTACAACATATTTTTCTTCTCCACATCGCCAAATTACAGAGCATCTCAAGCTGAAAGAAAAATAGACATTGAAACAAAATATGAGCAAGTATGCAATACAATAAAAACCAACCATGTTCATCATGTTCAGTAAAGCATTAATAGAAATGATATTCCCACTCTCTTTTAAACTTTTCACTCTAATTTTTGTCTTTCAGCCTCTCACAAGTGGAGTGTGAATATCATTGCTCTACCCTATATTCAATAAAAAATTTAAAATAAATTAAAAATAAAATCAAACAGTGTATATCTAACTATCATGAATACTGTCAAGAATATAGATGTCCAGAATAAATACACCTCAAACATATGACCCTTTTTTTTATCCCAAACAGGAATTCTATCAAAATATACTAGTGACAAGCATAAAGCATATTAAATGGACTGCATAAGTAACAAGATTAAATAGAATAAACTTCAAGCCATCAAAGGGTGTCTTTTTCCTCCTTTTTTGATGGACCATGATCTAGGTAACTCAACAAAAAATAAAAAATAAACCAAGAGTTGAATGACCAATGTTAGAAACCACAAAACACTTTAAGATGCAGAATGATCTTTTTAAGATAATATCTTACAGCTTCACAAAATCAAAAGCTAGATCATCTACATATAGTTGGTTGATATGGGTGTAAATCACATTTTTTCTTTCCAAGCAATTGCAAGAAGTGAAAAATAGTAGTTTATCAATTTACATGGGAACTACACTGAAATGATTATTAGGAGAGTTAGAAAGAAAGAAAATGGCATAATGAGATTCCTAAAAAAGGCAAAATAATGGACTAGAGAGAGAGACAGAGCAGATCTGATATTACCATACTAGCTGATCAGAGAGAGAGAGAAAACAGATCTGATCAAAGAGAGAGTAGATTCGAGAAAAAGATCCACGTCTCTTCATCGTTGAGCTTCTACTCACCGTTTCCAACGATCCACATCCAACGCCGCCTGCCTGTCCTGTACATGATCAGAGACACTAATACCACACTCGAATATCCAAGGCCTCGATTTCTCTCTCTTTCTAAAGTCACACCTCTGTTCAATCAAAATAGAAATTTTTTTGTTTTTAATTGATTTGAATTCCCTACAAGTACAACTACTTTAAAAGAAAAGAAATAATAAATAATTTAATAATCTTATTTTAACGGCATGACGTTAACCATTGTTTTCTAATAGTGGGTATAGTTTAATTTTTGAAAACTTATAGCTAGGTATTAATAGATGAATTTATTATTTAATAGGCTTTATAATAATTAATAATATTTTTTATCAAATATTATTAAAAATCATCACTAATTATTAATTTTTAATGATAGTTTAAAATTTTTATCACAAAAAATGTCATTACTTATAAGTTTTAGTGATAATTTTAAAAAAATCATCATAAAAAATGTCACTAATTTTTAATTTAAAACGATTTGAAACATTTGTCACAGAAAAACATTACTGATTGTAAGTTTTAACTATAATTTATAAAAATTGTGAAAAAAAAGTCACTAATTATCAATTTTTAACGACATATGTAAAAAATCGTCACAAAAAAATTATTTTTAGTAACAATTTATTAGGACTTATTTTTAATAGGATTTGATGGGAATTAAATCCAACAATTAAGACATTGATAATTTACCCTTAATTTTTTTGGTATTTAAAAAATCTTGACAAATTTTATGACATTTTTAAAAAATGTCATAAAAAAAGTCACTATATCCCCTGTTTCTTCTTGTCACTTCAATTAGATCTCACCCAAAATAATAATAATAATAATAATAATAATAATGATAATGATAATGATTCTCTTTTAACTTTACATCTTGTTTGTTGCCTTGGCCAGCTCTTGGGCTATGAGAATTTTTTGTTTTAGTCCTAAGCCTTTGATTTGTATGCTTTACTTTGATCCCTTGCTCAACTATCTGAGTGTACCAAAGGTAATATCTAGGGGTGAGTGTGGTTCAATTTAGGTATAAATCAAGAACCAAGTTATTATTTACGATTTTATAAAGTTTGAAATTAAACCAAACTATAAAAATCTTGGACTAAATTAAACCAGGCTGAACTATTAAAATGTAGTTCGGTTCCATTTGGAACAAAAAAAAATTAGCAACATGTCATCATTCAGAACATGATCTCAAAATATTGCTCACTAACATATACAAACACCAACAATATGTCATCATTTTTCAAACAAGAGTTGTTTAGATAATTGTTTAAAATTATTTACACCACTATATTGGAACACACTAGCAGGTGCAGATAGTTAACTAATTGGTACTTGAATGTTTATGACAAATTATGAGAAAAACTGTTCAAAGTAGGCACTTATTAATTATAATTTTGAAATTCTTTTCTCATAATCAATAACAATATATAATAATTTTTTTTGATTAATATTAAGTACAAAATCTTAAATATTTAATATAAAATTTTATTTTTTATTTTTTTTACAATTAACCTTGTGAAAGATTAGAATTAGAAATGTAATATTACTTGTAAATAGTGTATTATAGGCCATGCAAAATAATCTTATAAGTTTTATGATAGATTATATAATATCATTATCGATATATGGTGTCACTAATCAATAGTAAAATATCACATGAAGGGTTAATTTCACTTGTCAATTATAATTAACAATTCAATAATTCCACATTTTCATATTAGGGTTAACTATGTTTACATTTAAATGATGATGTGGTATCACTATTGCACTAAATTTTTTTTACAAAATTTTCATACATAATAATGTGACTTTTTATAATTTTTTCATTTTCAATCAAAACAACTATATTTTTGTAATTCAAAAAGGAGAATTTTTTTTTTTAAAATCCTTGATATTAAGATTTTATAAGATGAAAGACATAATATTTTCATAGTAGTTGGGGTACCTCAACATTTTCACAGAGAAATTTCGGCTTCGTTTGGTTAGGATTTCAAATTATAGTTCTACCCATTAATTTGAGTGTATTATTTGTTTTGAGCTTTCAAATCATAATTCTACCTCCATTTCTCAAAACTCAATTTAAAACATAATCATTACTTTTCAAAACTCATAACCAAACACATAATTCAAAACTCATTTCAAAACCCATTTCAAATCAATATTTTAATTTTTTTAAATATTTTTAAAATATTTTAATTTTTTTAAGATTTTAAATATTTTAATATTTAAATATGTTACAATTTTTTAAATATTTTAATTTCAAAATATTACGATTTTAATTTTTTAAATTTTAAAATATTTTATAAAAATAAATTCAAACTCTATTTTATAAAAATAGAGTTTGAAGGCTAACGATTTGAGTGTAGAGTTATGAAAGTAGTATGGAGTTTCGAATTATGTGTTTGGTTATGAGTTTTAAAAATAATTTCTTAATTGAGTTTTGTTTTATGTGTTTGGTTACGATTTGAGTGTAGAATTGTTTTTAAATTTAAAATATTAACATTTTAAATTATTTAAATTTTTTGAATATTTAAATTATTTAAATTTTTACGATTTAAATTTTTTGAATATTTATTTTAATTTTTTACTTATTAAATTTTTTAGATTATTTAAATTATTTAAATATTTATGATTTAAATTGTTTGAATATTTATTTTGAAAAAAAAATATTTCCTTTGTAGTATTTTCAATTAAAAAATTGATTAATGTTATTTTCAATTAATAATAAATTTTTTAATTGAATTTTAAAAAGAGTTTGGTTATGAGTGTTGATCAGAATTTTCAATAGTGTGAAAGTAGTGTGTTTTGTTATGAGTTATAACAATTTGAATTAAGTTTTAAAAACTCTTTCCAAAACTCATAACCAAATAAATTTTCTTATTTCACATGTCAAAATCAAACTTTCAAAACTCAATTTCATACTCAATTCAAAACTCAATTCAACACTCTATTCAAAAACCATAACCAAACAAATTTTCTACACTCAAATCATAATTCCACAACTCACAAACTCAAAATACAACTCATACCCTCAAATCATATTTACAAAACTCTACCAAACGCAACCTTCAATTTTCATAGAAATTTTTTATTTTTTTTGTTTTTTATTTTTTATTTCACAGAGAAATTTTGAAACTTTTCTAATATGAACACAGAGAAATTTCATTGAGAGAACTTAACTAATAAAAAATATATTTATTA